ACATATGAACATTTTTTGTGAACCAATTTTGTGGTCCTGTCCACGATATACCAGTTGGTCTAGGCTTCAGAATTGCTAAATGTGTAGACTCATGTAAAGGTGAAGAAGGCTATGTGTAATTTTTTCTTTCCTTTTTATTAACAGCTTGAAGTGTATGATGGCAAAGCTGGCAGTGAAGGTATACTTGAATAAATAGATATGTTCCATATTGTGTATTTCTTGTAGCAATATGTTTTTCTGATCTATAATTCTTATTTATCTGCGCAGCTGTGAATGAACCTGATAACGGAACTTATGTTCCTGAAAAATCTACCAGAAAGAGCTCTGCTAAGAAATCTGAAAGCTTTAAGAAGAGGAAGAATTCAGAAAGTGAATCTGATTCTGAAGACGAGGAAAATAGTGATAATGAGAGTGAAGGAGAACTGAATGGGCAGGCAAAACATCGGAAAATAAGTGGTGGAAAGGCTACAGGCGAAGGACGAGGACCAAATACAGGAGGAAAAGGATCAGGTAAGAGGGGAAGACCTGGGAAGTCATGAGCATCAGTTTCCTGATTCATATAGGAGTTTTTGTGGTCCATTGAGACCTTTTTTGTTCTTTCATTTTTACCAAATTGCCGGGATGAATTGAAATGAAGCCCGGAAAGAATTCGTTCTCAATGAGCATTAATTGCTTTGTATCTGGCAAAGGGCCAATTTTGAAGAGGTTGCGTGTATTTAACTATCTATGTGCTTTGCAGGGAATGAAAACCTGTTACTGATGTCATATGCTTCATGTTTGTTTTCGAAGTAGCTTATTCTTACAGTGAAAATAATGAAGAGAATCTCGTCTATTTGGCCAAGGGATTATTTAAGTTGATGGTTCAAAACGTTGTTGCGTGCAGTTTATTCCTTCGATAGTTCAGTTGGTGAAGGTTTTACTAGTCTTCTAGTTATGTGATAATGATGTTGATACTACGTTATTAGAACATGCAAATTTAAAGCAAGCGTAATCTGAGTGATGGATGTAGCGTAATTTTTTAAAGTTCAATGACCATACAAAAATATTTTGAAGTTCAATCGATAATTTTTTCAGTATATGAAACATTAATTGTGCTGGTTGTACAGAATGGGTTTTACACCTTTCTTAACAGAGTAGACACAAGGAGTGGGGTCTCGATTATTTGCATTTTTTATTATGTGGAGTCGGCTCGGGTCTCAATACGAGTATCTGTCGTTCAATGTGTCAAGCATTTTGTGAGACGAGTTTTATTCCACCACAAAATAAGAACTTCGGCTATGCACATGGCAAAAATATTAAAGGGATCGAATAAAAAATTGTGCAGACTTTAGCCAAAACCTATTTGCGGCTCCTTTACACCAGATAGACGGGGCTAAATCCTGGAAGTCACAAGATGTTAAAGTTCTTGTCGAAGGTGAGAATCGAGTTCAACGCGCTAGACCCACGAATAGCTTCTTGCATGGAGTTCTTGGCGCAGTGCAATGCTCGCAAGGCCAAGGAATCTAACCCGTCTTGCCAGGTCCAAGTCAAGCGCCGCACCGACGATTATCCGCCGAAGATTACTGTTACATTTGTCAACGGCGTTGAAGAAACTTTCGATGCGACCTCGACCCCCGCCCAGACCATCCGTAATTTGATTCTTGACAAGGGTAGTCTCCTCGAGACGGAGCAGATGTTTCGCGAAGCTGGTGAGCAGTGGCCTGTTATTGTACCTGAAGAAGAACTTCGCCAACCATTCACCGGAATTAAGGTAATTGATTGAGCCTTTTTGGATTGAATATGAGGGTTTTGGGTTGTGATTGGTTTTGTGGATTCTTATGCCATTTGGTTTAATCAATTCGTCGAACAGGTGAGGTGGTTAAGTACTTGGGGTTTAAAGATTTCATCTTTGTTGATGTTTTGTCTTCTATTAGAGCACTTGTTATAAGAATTTCCCTTTTACGATTATGATAACATTATTTTCCGGAAGTGTTTAGACAAAAATTTATAATTTGATGGTGTGAATGAGAAGGTGCTGTGTTTATGTATTGATGGTTTGGATTTCTTGATTGAGACAATTTGTCGAGCAAATGGTTCATTTTACTATGCCAGAGTCTGAAGTTTTCTTTCTTTTCATGGGTTTAATAGGTTTCCTTTGTGTTGTTTGGCTATTTGACTAACTTTATAACATTTTTGTGGACTAAGTTGGTGGATTTGGATAGGGTCCGGTAGTTTAATGAGGCACGCATTTTTCTTCTTAATGAGGGAGCTTTACAATTACAGCATGCACTGGTTGCTTGGTGAATAAACGATTCATATTTTGCAATTTGCAAAGTCATACATTCTTTGAATATCAAGCTTCAAATTGAGCAATGTTATTATCAGTCATAAATAACTCAGATCATCTAACAGTAGTTATTTGATCGGAATGAGCAGTCTGTCCATTATCACATCTCTAACAAGTGAGAAATTTATCTGTGACCTCCAATCACTTGTTAATGGATGCTATTAGATTTCTTGAAATCTAATATTGGTTTTTTAATTCGACCTAGAAATTTCCACCCTTCATGCTTAGAAAGAAGTGGTGACATGGCAAATACAAGATTTCAACCTTCGTTATTTGCTTACTGGACCATTCAAATTACGTCGCCTTTGGTTTTATCGCTTTCATCTGTGGAAAAAAGGATAGAAGTAGAAAATCGTAGACATTAAGTGTCCAAGCACTCGGTCTTTTTTGTCGGATGTTAATATCAAGATTTTTGTTATCATTACGGAAATTTGATTTGTTGAAGTTTTAAGTGCTTGTTAATTTCTTGTTAATCTTGACTTACTTTGAGGTTGAAATCATTGATAGCAAAAGTTCATAACAAGCCAATGCAAGAGTATTCTGAGATACAATGCTGCATAGAATTATATATGTTCTCACTGACTGGATACTGATCAAAATGGAGTTGATCAATCTGACTTTTGAGTTGTGTTGGCTATAATCGTACAAAAATGATTCTATATTTAGGGTAACTATGGTATTCTTCATGGTTTTTATTGCCATTTTAAAGATCCCCTCCCACTCCCTAAACTAGTTGATATTGCTCTTTTTTCCTCTTTATTTTTTTATTTTTTTTGTGTGCTGGGTGTTGAAGGTGTAAATCTAAAGGATTTCCACCCGGTCTAATGCTTTGCCATAAAACACTTGTTATGGTGCTGGTATAGTGGAGAAATGTTGGCATGCTTAGATACAAGGTTTTACGAGTTGTAAATAGATATGGTGGCACATTTTGTCATATAGTAAGTGTAAGCTTTCAACATGCAAAAAGAATACTTATTGGGTTCTTTAGTTCAGCATTCTTGTTATCCTAAGTTTGGTGCCTCTTTTGCGACGTTTCGTGTTCGGCTCAGCTTATAAGATGCTTGTTTTTGCATCTTATTTTAACAGAAAAGAGGCCATTGCTGCCTGAATAAGATGCATATCTTCAAATTGTCAATGGCATCATAATATCATGCCTTCCATTTATTTATTCCGTTTTCATTTTTGCAGCTAAGGAAAGCGGAAGAGAAGAAGCAGTAAGTTGTGACATTCAGCGTGTTTGAGCCGTTCTGATGGCTTCAAATCGACCACACTAAATTAGGTTATCCATTAAGGGAATTACAATTACAGGCTCAATTTTGAGGTCAATGCTTTCTTGCAAATTTGTTCTTGACATGGATAAATAAAACATATGAGGCGGAACTTTATTTTTAAGTTTCCAAGTCTGAATTGTTCATCTTGCACGTCTGTGGAATGTTCTTGATTATTGAAAGATGTTGTTGCAGTTCTTGACAGTTATCAGGATTTCTTTTTTGAGTAACATACATAGAAACTGTGATGGGAATTATAATTAGAGATGCACGAGACAGTAAGAGCATATTTAACTGTGTTTAAAAGTAAGTCAAAATGTGACTTAAGAAAATGGAATTGGCCACCATTTTCTCCCGAGTGGTCATTCCGACTAGTTGGTGACTATTTATCATATCCATAAGCATGCTTGGCAACCTTTTATCAAAAATTGACGCTCAAAATTCAAGCATTTATATGTTACTATTGTACCCAATCTTTTATCATGTCTCAACAACAAAAAAAATTATGAAAAATATAGTTTACTTGATTTAAAGTAGTGTTCTAAATAACGCGCCAATACGCGCTTTGACGCGAGGTGAGGCTTAGGCACCCAGCAAAGTGCGCCAACTTGGTGCATTATTTGGTGGTCAATGGACGTGAGGCGAGGCTAAGGCGCCTAGGCAAGCATTATTAGGTTTTTTTTCTTTTTTTTTTTCCCGTTTCTTTTTTTTTTTCAATTCTTTTAAGTTAAAACTTATAATTATTAAATGATTTTTTTGTTCATTAAAAATTTAAAATAAGCAAACGCTTTTTAACACCTTTTTACGCATTTGCCTCTCCTAATCTCGCATAGCACGTAGATTGGCATCAATTCATCGTCACGAATTACGCTTTTTAGAACATCGATTTTAAGTGTTAAAATACTTTCTTTTGAAATCAAACTTGGTCGGGTTGTCAGGTGCCCGGTGGTTTAACTGTTAAGTGTTTCAATGATATGAACGGTTTAAGGTCTGGTTCATAAATTTTTCGAGATTGATAGATTTAATTTGATTTTAATAACTCTGAGTTCATTTAACGAGATAGCTTCACTCTCACTTGAATCTTGGACTTGGTCCTTTCATAGTCAGTGCTTGTTTGAACCACAAAAATAACAAATTTTTTAAACTTTATTTGATTACTTATAAGTAAATATTTTAAAGCTTAACCTAGCGTGATCGTCACAAGACTTTCCTCATAACCAAAAAGCTTAATAGATTTCGTTATAATTTGATTCTTTGAAGCATGCCCCCACATAAATGGGTAAACGTGTACGGTTCGGATTCTATGACCTTCATTAAACTCCAACCGACAAATGCAATGATCTATAACCAAGCTCTAATTTCTCCTTAAACAGGCTTGTGTCCTAATCAAGCTTTTTAGTCTATTCCTCATCAATCCACTACTCGCTCACGGTTTCAAATCTCGCAGTTCTCTCACCTCGATCTCTCTCTCTCTCTCACACTCACAAACATACGGATTGCTCTCTCTATTACAGAATCGAATCAATTAATTAGTGGAAACAGAGCAAGAAAAATGGGCTCTGTTTCGTTGAAACTAGGAGATGGAACCGCAAGATTCAAGCGGGCATCAGTGTGTACATCAGCAGTTAATATGTTGATGCTATTTTCTGTAATCATTACCAACATTTTTGCTTTCTATGCTTTCACATACCACCCTACGAAACTTCATCGCTACCATAATCCCAAGAACATAGCTCTGATCTCGGAAAAAGTGTCCTTGATCCTAAGAGAGATTGATTCTTCACAGAAAAAGCTAGCTCAGATGGAGAAAGAGATCCTGGGTTATGAAAGCATCGATCTTTCCAGACCCAACATTGCAAATGAGCTGAAAGAGTACTTGAAGCACCATGAATTGCCTTTGGGGAAAGATTCGAGAACTGGGATCACTGAAATGATGGCATCTGTGGGGCATTCCTGTGAGAAATCCATGGATTTGTTGTCACAGTATATGAATTATAAAGTCAACGGGCCTTGCCCTGATGACTGGAGCCTTGGCCAGACGCTGATTCTTCGAGGATGTGAGCCTCTGCCGAGGAGGAGGTGCTTTGCAAAGACTACTCCCAAGGTAGAATTGCAGCCTTTTCCATTTTCACTTTGGAAAAATGTTAGTGAAAAGAGTTTTAGTTGGAGTGGTCTTGGATGCAAAAATCTTGCTTGTTTGAATAGTAAAAAATTGAATAAGGATTGTACCGATTGTCTTAATATAGTTAACGGTTATGAGACTCAGATATATGTTAAGGCTAAAGGGAAAAATGATTTCTTGATTGATGATGTGTTGGCTATGGGCAGCAGTAGGATTCGGGTTGGGTTTGATATCAGTGGAGGGTCCGGGACTTTTGCTGCTAGGATGGCTGAGAGGAATGTGACTGTTGTTACTGCCACGTTGAATGTTGATGCTCCTTTTAATGAATTCATTGCTGCAAGAGGGCTTTTCCCTTTGTATTTGAGCTTAGATCATAGGTTTCCATTTTATGATAATGTGTTTGATTTGGTTCACGTGGCGAACGGGTTGGATGTCAGCGGCAGAACTGAGAAATTGGAGTTCTTGATGTTTGATATTGACCGGATTTTAAGGGCTGGTGGGTTGTTTTGGGTGGATAACTTTCATTGTTATAACGATGATAAGAAAAGGGCTCTAACTCGGTTGCTAGAACGTTTTGGGTATAAAAAGCTGAAGTGGGTCGTGGGAGAGAAAGTTAATAGTTCAGGGAAATCAGAAGTTTATTTGTCTGCTGTTCTACAGAAACCAGTAAGAATATAATACAATGATTTCTTCCGGGAAATTCTGGATGTAATACTAGTGTAGCAGCAATGGTTACAATGTAATTCATCTTCGTCCATTATTTTACATATTCGCAATTCGTTTGTAATGACAAATAAGTGAAGGGCATTGACTGTTTCTTTTCCAGATTGGTATTTGCAAGCAAGAACTGCTGATTTTCCCCGGTGAGGTTTGATATCTTTCTAAATGTAACTTGAAGAGCCTCGTTTTAACAACTAAGATCTTTTGTCATGAATGCTTTATGTAGCTGTTAATTGAGTTCTATCAGTAGAATTATTGAACATCATTTGTGCAGCACTGCCTTCTCTGTTTCAATCAGTGAGACATGCTATGTGAACTCAAGAACAGATTTCATCTTCACGGTAGTAAAAATTGATTCACTGCATTGTGTGGTGGGGAAAACTGAGAAACTCATGGGAGACAAGTAATTCTAAGTTTCATGTATTCCGCGTAATTCTTATTCCTGCTTCAAATTCATAGGTCTGCTTTGTTTCATCCGATGCTGTCATACACAACCTATAGTTGAATTTCCTAATGCTAGAACCTTATTCACATCAAGACCATGTCGAGGGTATATGACAGGATTTCAGAACAAAAGTATTGCCTCCAGTAAACCATTTTACAGATTTTTCGTTCCTTGTATTGTTATTTTATTTCCAGAAATTCATAAAAATATGAAACTGGGGCTTGCAAGTAATTTGATGCAAATCATGTTGTGATGTAATGATGGAATTTTAGTCTTTGCTTGCTGATATAAAGCCTCATTCCAGAATGGTTATATGCCTTTTTGGCCGGCATGCTTCATCATCATCATCATCATCATCATTATGTGACTAATTATTTTGAAAGTACCCTTGGTTACTTTTAAAATAAATAATTTCTTTACTTAAAGATATGAAAAAAGTAACTTAATAGACATCCTTGGAAACAAAAGCTTAAAAGTAAGTTAAATTGCTTTTAAGCTTAGCCAAACATGATGTAAAATACTTTATTTCAAGCTTTACTATGTGCTTTGATTGAGTTTTTCTTTCCTGTTAATTGGATAAATGAAACTGCTAGCTTGTCCCTGCACAACTAGTAAATTCAATAATCGCACGTCACTGGCATAACAAGGTCTTGGATCTATTTTCCCCTTGAATTCACAATAATATGAATATCTTAACTTTGTTTCAGATTCCCCAAGTCCACTTGTGTCCTTTTTTATTGATTTTAGCTATTGTATACCGTCTCCATTCGGTGGGATCTCCAAAGAGTAAAGATTTAAAATTTGATGAAATGTGATAAAAGTTGTGGATCCTATGAGATTGTGGTTAAATTTTAATTTAGATTTTTGTAACTTTTTTTAGCTAAATCAATTGGGATTCAGCCCCGTTTGAGTCACATTATTGTAAAAATAAGAATAAAAAATATAGTCGTCATCGATCCTACACAAAAGATAAAAAGTCAATTATGATGACTCGATGTAATGTATAACGGTCATATTTTTAATTTTAATGTGGAAATAATGGCACTCAAATAAGGCCTTAGTCTGATTTTAGTTGGAAATCTTCTTTTTCAATTCAGCAAATATCAAATTTCCATTGCACATTCATAATGAATTTTCTACACATTTCATGGAATATATTACTATTCCTCCTAAAAAGCTGTTATTATATTTACACGAACAGAACATTAATGACCCTAAGTTTTTGGTATTGAAGACTTGAAGTCTTTCGATACAATGAGGCAAGTTATTTGAAAGGCAATTGGAGAGTATAAACAAGTCTATGTTCCCACATCATCTAGAAGTTTTAAGTGATTAAAGTGGTGGCAGATTTATTGATTAAAATTATATATCATATTCACAAGTCAAATTCATTTTTTTTTAATCGAATGATGGCACATTCAAATTTGATTTGAACGCAAAACAGAATTCGACAGTTGCATCTCACAGTTCAATCTTGGAACTGGATTTATTGTTGCTAGGCAGTAATGCAAGCGTTTTATTGCTTTGTCTTTGAAGGTTACCTGGTAAAAGTTTGCTTCTGGTAGATTATCTATTCAGGTCCCCTGTATCATAAGAAATGCTATTAATGCCTGGAGGTATACTCAAAGGCAACCCTAAACTTGCTTCCAACTCAACAGGTGATACAAATAGACAGACTACGCCTTTCATGAACAAATTGAATCCACATGGGATCTTGCCTTCACTAGAAAATATTCATGCTAGCTAGCATTCATTCGATTACATGGCTCTATGCCAAACATAAGACTTCATACGTTAAAAAAATGTATTTTTAACTCAGAGTTATTACAATCCCACGCTTTAAAAAGAAAGCTCTAATTCAACCTTGCTTCATGGAAATTTGATAACCAAATTCCATATTTTCCTGATAAACAAATCAACTACATAAATTAGTGTGGACCATCTCGATTGAATCCTCCTTCGCCATTTACCCCTTGCAGTGCAGCAGAGTTTAAAAGCTGCATTTCCTCTTCACCCATCTGTTGAACTTCCGAGAGCGATAATATTCTGATGCATCTCACACAACCAACAAACTCCCTGCATAGTCGTGTAATGTTAAATTTTGTAAGAAAATGTGAAACAAATTCTTTGCACACGAGCAAGTGCAGAAATTTACAATGGTGAACTGTTATTATTAATGACCAAAATGAAATTACTTACGAATATTAGAGAAAAAATGGGACTTACTCCCAAGGATCATCCCCAACAAGAAGAACATCACTTTCGAAATCCACATAAACTAGCTTCCAATCATAACCATAGTTGTTGAGCAACCTTTCAAGTCCAAACATGCGTTCAATTTCAGAACGCAGTTTATATAATCAACTTAATTGATATCACCTATCACGAACTTGAAAAATTTTCAAATGAACTTTTAGCACCGTAACACTTTAACAATCAAAGTTCCAATCCCTCACAAAAATTACATTAAATCAACATTTTACACATGAATCTAACAAGTTCTAATAAAATGTATAATGTGATTTTATATTTAAATGAATTTATCATTTTGTGTCATTTAATAGCATGTATTCAATCGAAACTTTTAATGACTTTTTGATATTTAAAAAGTTTAGGGGTATTCAATTAAGACCTTTTGAGATTTTCTAAAAGTTACGGTGTATTCAATTGAGACTTTTATACGCTTTTAAGAAATTTCTAAAAGTCACAGTGTATTTAATTGAGACTCTTTAGAAATCTCTATAAGTTTTGGGATATTCAAATTTTAATGACTTTTATAAACTTTTATAAAAGTATCTGAAGTACTAACTTTTAAATAGAAAGTACTAGGTCTTAAATTTTGTCTCTCATTAATCACGAGATTTTGGAAGACTTTCACAATTTTTTTTTTAACTCTCTATGGACATGTACGATTAAAATTTATTTATTTATTTATTAATTATATTTATTTCCATTTTTTATTCTCTCTCTCTCTCTCTCTCTCTCTCTCTCTTATTATTTATCTCTATTTTCTATGAAAAAAATAAATTGAATTCTTGTAGCTTTTTTTTTTTTTGCTTTTTTCATTAATTTTTTTTATGAAAAAAATATTTTTTTTTATTAAATTGTAAAATTTTATATGAAAAGTTTATAATTAAATTTAAATATATTGATTTTTATTTATTTTGAAAGTATACTATACTAATAATATTGAGTCATATATATGTATAATTTTTATTATTATTTATTTTATTTGTCTTAAATTTTTATTTTTTCAAATGTTTTTATTATATGGGAAGAAGAAGGGGAAGGATAGAGAATTGAGGAAACTAATATCTCATATGTGAGAATTTCACACAATTGTACTAGATCCACTTGAATTATATTTCAAATAAAAGTCTTTAAAAATCTTTTAAATTCTACAAAAGTTTATAAAAAAAAATTTAAAATGAAAATCTATAGAAGTTAACGAAAGACTTCCACTAATTCCGTACAAATTTATAAAAGATTCACGAAATCATCAAAAGTTATCACCTAAAAGAAGCCTAGCAGAGTCTTTAGAAGTCCCAATTTAATACACCCCCTTAGTTGCATGTGCTTAGCACAAATGAGAATAAATAACATTGCTTGTTGAATTTTATATTATTTAATAATCTACACTCCACCTAATTACCAAATAAGCACCTATTTGGTAAAGATTATAATTTAATTTTTATCGTATATTTTATATGCATGCCTTTTTTTAACCACACGTTTCATCAACCTTTATTAAAATCTACTAAAAATCTAATTTTAATCTCTAACAGACGGTGGCTAAATAAAAAAAAGATTAAAAATATTATGTTAGAATACACACACACCCCCCCCCAATGAAAGCCAAACGGCCCAAACATATTTGGAGACTTGACAACAATGGAGTTAAAGCCCAACATCAAAAAAGGGATCACAGCCGTCCAGCGCTGGCAAGTTAAAACCCTAACATCTTAACACAGCCCTCGCACGTCAGATTATCTCTCGGGCAGTGGTAGCGAGTTAAGGCAGCCACCCTATCTGGATTCACTGATCGCCGGAGCCTAGAAGAAGAGAGCCTCCCTTTGCTAACAAAGACACGGGGAGAAAGAAGAAGAGGAAGAGAGGATTTGAGTTGGCTGTGAATATGTGATACGTGGGCGGTTGGGCTTAGAGTTAGTGGGCGGGCCTCTTTTCTTTCTTCTTTTTTTCTTCAATTAGGCAGGCCCAAATTAATGAAATTGAAATCTATCATTCCCCAATTCCTTTCTGTCAAAGTTCAAACTGGAGGCAGAGAGAACTCAGAGAAGAGCAGCGAACCCTTCCAGTAAGGTATGGAACTTTTGCACATTTTTTCTCTTAATAACATGAAAGAGCTTTCCCAGTGCCCTATATACCTTTTAGACTAAAATTGCTCTACGTAAATAATATTAAACTAAAAGCAGAAAGTTGCATAAAATTTCTATACAAAAAAAAACCCCACAAAATTGCTGATGAATGAATTTGGATTTGTAGTACTAATTTTTAATTATTTTTTCCTGATTTTGTATTTTATCTTTTGATTGTTTGGATCTGTATAATGATTAGAATATGTATATTAAGAAGAAGAGTCCATTTGATAATTGTGAATTAAGGATAGAAAATGAATGGATACAACTTAAATTTAATGGATTGATATTTAAGAAGTTGCTTCAGATTGGAGGTTGAAGGAGCCATTTCATGCTGCATCTCTGTCATTTGGATGGATTAACATTAATGTGAGATGGGTAGTGTTGGGTTGAAGTTTTAACAAATTATATGATAGCTTGTTTGACAGATTTTTTTCCCCAAAATATGAGACCCCGTAGAATTTAATTGTCCAAGTTTACAATTACCGAGTAGGATTGTATTGTCTATTTTTTTAGTATTTTGGGCAGGTGCAGAGCCAGCACCTGGCGATGGGGCGCGATCTCGCATGCTGACTCTGTCGAAATCTGTAGAACCGCCGGGTAGCTAATCGTTCACCACCAGCGAAGGCTTGCAGCAGTTGCAGCGCTTGGACCCTGGAGAAGGAAGACGATTCAAGCGTAGATGAAAGTGCAAAGGTCCCCTTTTTTTTGGACTTTAGTAATTGCGAATTTTGGACCTCTTATTGTTTAACCCAATTGTCCAATTAGCCAAGAATTGTGAAATGCCCAAATCCAATTCCCCCAAATTGCCCAACAGGGGATTTTTTAAAAAGGCCTAGTCAAGCCTTTCAAAAAAAATTGAGGCCTAACTTACTCCAAATAAGTTTTTATGGCATCTTTTATTCTAAAATGTCTAAATTATCCTTTTCT